TACCTATCTCACTAAAACTGGAATAGCTCACACTATAGGTGGATTTTTGATGAGTGGTTGGTACCATTGGAAAGCTAACTTCAAGCTTTTGAACTTAGACCCAAGAATGACCAGATTTGGATTAGAAATAAAAGAGATATGATTTCCCAAAGTTGGAACAACAAAGTTGTCTAAGGAAAAAATGAAAAAGATGGTCCCAGGGAGGATCGGTCGACCGAAATGTAACCATCAGCCGGCCAAAACTCAACCGTCGGTCGGTCGAACCTTAATTATCAGTCGCCCGAAACGAGGTTTTTCCTAAAAAGCCTACTGGAATGGTCTCGAGAGTTTGGTCAGCCGGCTGATGGGTCCTCATCAGCCGACCGACACATCTGCTGCAGCAGAAAAAGCTACTGCAATGTGTGTGTGTGATGCTTGGTTCGTCTCTAAGGCTGTACATGGACTCTACATGATCCGAACATGTTTAAAAAATTCCCTGACCTCATGCAAGCATAAAAAACATGCTAAAACAAAGAGGAACTTAAAATGATGTCCTAATGCATGAATTTTCATGAAAATTCGTAAAATCGCCCAAAAATAGTTTCAAAGATGAAACTTAAGAGTTTTATGAAATGTAGACATGCACGCAAACGTAAAAAAAGACAATTAAGACGCGTCCTAATGGTCTGCGGCTTCAAAATAACCCCAATGCAATATATGACCTCTCAACGGCCAAAAATGCCTTAAAATGCTATAAATGAAACCAAAATGCAAAACCTAGAATGAAATGGTGTTTGGCCCTTGGCCACACCTCATACATGATCATATGAACCCTATGAAAGAAAAAGAATGGAATTCCCACACCCGATGCAAAAGCTATGAAGCAATGATTTAGCATTTTTCAATATTTTCATAGTATTTCATGAAGTTAAAACTATATAGGATACAAGATACATGTTATTAGCTTCCAGCCTCATTTCATACATGTCAAATACATTACAAGGGTGTACTTATGTACACATTACATATATAGAATCAAAGAATACATGTTTAGACATATAAGGCTACAAAATGACATTTCATGCTAACACTTGCATAAAATGTAAACTTAAAAACTATAAGTCATCTAAGGAATGATGAGCATCACGAACCAAGTCTTCGTACCTGAAACAAATCCCTAGTAACTTTGGAGTGAGTAACATAAAGTTACTCGTAGGAAATGAGCATGCATCGACGTAACATTTTACGATTTTTATCACCTTAAGGTGAAACATGTTGAAGGGGCTCATGCCACCTAACGTCTATGTCAAGATAAGACTCAGGGAGCATCCTAAGCTACCTCAGAGTATAGTTAACGAGAATCATGATACATATACATATATGAAACGAATCAAGGTTGGGATAATCTAAAGAACATAATAAGAAGGATACTTGAATATAGGTCAACATGAATTGCATTATCAACACAATTAAGCAAGGTTTGGAATAATCCATACAATATGACAAGAAGATACTATAATACAAGGATCACATTATCAATGCAATTAATATGATTGGAACATTTCAATTAACACGATAGGGATAATACATGAAATCAAGAATATGACATAATATCTATGCAATTAACAAGATTGGAGCATTTCACACAACACGACAAGTTTTAAATCTTCAAGGAATAGCAACTTGAAATTTAAAGAGTGAAATCAACCAATGTGGAAACTCGGATATCGCCCGGATTAAAACCGTACTATTGGGATCAATTTAGGGCTACTAACCCATGGATACCTTCCCCTAGTGCGCACTATAATGTAGGGAGCTCTTTATCTCCTGTAGTAGAACCAAGTCCTAGCCATGTCAATTCTTGATTGATATTCCAAGTCCCAAAATCAACAAGCTGTGCGAGTCAAGATTGTATCAAAATACAAGAAATGTATTAACCACGTTTTATGCACAACCAAGATTTTGGAACAAACAAGTCATGCCCTAAGTTCTCAATTATGATGACATGTGAAATATCAAGAAATTACAATGTGCATATATATAGACTAGAACCAAAATATGTAGCACAAGAAATTCATTGAAGTAAATATACCACAAGTATAAGATACATGATTCAATTACTTACTAAACAACACGTGTAATTAAACCATTTCAAGACAAATGTGCATGTTCATTAAGTACATTAATGAAACCTAGGTACAAGGGGTCACGATACTTGATAAAAAGATAAAAGTTCATGAAATACAAGTCTGATTCATAAGTTGACAAGAGTTCAATACCAAAGCATGATTAACTTGATGGAAGCATAAAGGGGAATTTAATCTACTAAAGGGATTAAATTATCAAGATCACAAGGCAAGTACAATGTTCTATAAGCGAGATATGTCAAGGATAAGTTCAATGTTAAGTTACGAGTTCATTTCATACGGGATACAACCATGTGTATTAAGTTTCATACAAGAGAAATAATTTAATAAAAGTTTCAAAACTTATCCAATTATGTTTAATTTGATACACGTGAAGTAACTTGTCAAGGAAAACATGAATACCAAGTTAGAAACTTAATCAAGACCAAGGAGTCATTGAATGGATTTTAATTAATCCTTTTAATTAAAATCTCTAGATTTTGAAATTCATTCAAATGATCTCAATTTAATGTATGTTATGCAACATGTCAAGACTTGATTTAAAAGCATGTTACAAGTGAATTCCATGCAAGATACGACCATGAGTATTAAACTTTAATATTAGAAAATAATTAAATGAAAGGTTTCAAAACCTAATCTAATATTCCCGATTTAATATATGTGAAAGTATATGGCATACACATCAAGAATATCAAGTCGGAAATCCAATGGAGTGAATAGTGCACATGGAATAAATTAATTAATCAAATTAATTAAATATTACTATATTTCAAAACATTTCCAATTACTCTTAAATTCACCTATGATGACGAGCATACTGGGGCCTAATATAATATGACAACACATGTTAATTTCAAGCTAGTTAAGGCCACATGAATTAAATATTTATTCAAGATAAATATTAAATAAAATCTTCAATACTTGTCCAAATGCTCTCAATTTAATATATGTCAATGAACATATTAAGGGATAATATTCTATCATACCACATGTTTAAACCAAGTTATAACCAATCGGAAAAATCAAATCTCACACAAGAAAATTAAATAATAAAATTCCCAAATTTGATACCAAAGCATGTAACTAAGTTGCATAAACATCAATAGCATGCAAGACAACAAAAATAATAACTTATAACACCCCCTACCTCAATTTGAGATGAAAATCTCAAATCCCCACCGAAAGAAAAGTGCTCCGAATCCGACGATACTTCAGGGTTTTGTTGGGACAACACGGTGATTATTAACTCCAAGGAAGCCCCATGAAAAACACAACTTGACTTCAAACCCGAACTCACAAAATGGTCAGAAATGGGTTCTAATAAGAGGAAAAGGTAGAGCACATTGAGGCTTACGATAAACGTTAAGGCCGAAAACTTTTCACCAAGGAAAAGTGGTTTAAAGGAGGAGAGAGAAGGTGGCAACCATGACTGCCATGGAATCCAGCCAAGAGAGGGGAGGAATATGATGAAATCTGATTTTTTGACTTTAAGTCCCCTATTTATAGAAAAATCCTAAAAGTGCTTCGAAAGGGCTCCGCCGGATCCGGAAAAGTGGAATTTGAGCAAACTCGCTCAAACGATGAAACTCCATGAACGAAAAAGAACCGAAATGAGAAAATATAAGCAAAGAAAGAAATGGTATCAAAAATCGAGTCCCGAGCAGAGAGATATACCCCGAACAAGTTCGGCGGCAACCGGGGCCAGAAACCCTGAAACTGGAAAAAAAACGACCAGAAGAAAATTCTAAGAATACATAACTCAACGAAATATGAAAATGAATCCTGTACGAGGATCCAAGCTCAAAACGAGGTATTTTGCAATAACTTTCGTTAATTGCACAATGGCCCCTTCGAAAAGTGAAAACTGCACTAATGACCCAGAATGAAAATATCTTCCAAAAATATTTTCTTAAAAACTCCTGAAATAAAATATATTTCAAAGATATTTATGAAAAGTACCCCAAAAAAAGAAAAAAGATTCTGAAAAATTGTGCATCCATACCCCTATGGACATGGGGAGCAACCAGAGTATTTTTCTACAAAAGTAAAGATACATCTTTCGTAGAAACCACTTAAAATGAAAATACGTGAAGTCAAAAACTAACTTTGAGCACGAAAAGTGAGGTTGTGCAAAAAAAGTGGCAAACAGAGAAAAGACAAAATAGGGAAAATGACGAAAAGTGAATAGTGTCGAAAAAATTAAAATGTGGAAATGACTCGATCCTTAAAGGAAATTGTCAATCCAAACGAAAGAGTCTCGGAAACCATTTTCAAGCACTCGAGATGACACCCAATGACGAGAAACAGAACTCAAAAAGAAAATTAAATGGAAAAAATTTTCTCCGTAAAATTTGAGAAAAAGGAAAGGGAGGAAAATGACCGGGTCATTACAACAAGCGTACTCAATTGACACTCCATGAGATTGGACGGTCGTTCTCGATGAAAAAGGAGCAATGTGGTGATGATTTTTATTTTTATTTATTTATTTTATTTATTTTTATTTATTTTTTGTCATTTCATTACAATACCAAAAGCTATTATTTTTATTTAATACAAGAGAAAGGCAATATGATCATTTTTTTTTTTTTTAAATTTTGCTGACGGCAGGAGTGTCGTTGAGTACAGTGGCCATCAAAATAATAAACATCAAAACTAGGAAAAAAAATAATAATAATAAACATCAAACCATCCATTCAAGTGTAATTTGATAAAACCTCAGGGGAGGTTAGTGTAATTTACCCTTTTTAAGTTTTTTGTAAAATGAAACCGTGGCGATCTGAGTAGATCTAACGGCTTATATAAAACCGCGGTGGGCCCCAGTTATTGCGCTGGATCAGATCAAGTTTCTCGAATTCCTTCTCATTGTCTCCAACGGCGCAAAACAGTAGAGGAGAGGATCTTATATGTGTGGGGTGATGATGAGGTATGCTGCGAATGTTGGAGTTCCCTCTCTTCTCAGTGTCAAAAGTGCACCTATCTCTTCAAACAACAGCTTGGTATTCCCACTCTCTCTCTTTCTCTCTATGCCTCTCTTTATATATATATATATATATATATGATGTTGAACATCTTTAAGTGCACAACTTAGCAGAATTGGGGTGACAATGGTGGTGATGGTAGAGCAGAGGATCCTAACCATTTGGCGAAGCTGACAGTTCCAGGTTATAAATGGCGCTTGGTTATAGCATATGATGGCACAAGATATTCAGGTTTACTTATTTTTCTTATAAAATTGAAATTTTGTTATCACAATTATGAATTTTTTTAGGTTAATTTCTTGTGGTAATCATATTATTGGATAGGTTTTCGATCTGTTTGTTTTAGACATTCCTCAACAAATCCATTATATCACTGTCACACATTACTGATAAACAGAGCAATAAACATAAAATTGTTATTGTTCGTCTATGGTGCAAGATTTTTTTTTTTTGAATTTGTGGGAAGCTATTTTCTGTTCTCTCATTTGAGTTCAGATTGTGCAATTTGTGTCAAGTTCTATCTTGTCTTGTTCTACTTGAATTGGTATGACCCTAAACTTATACACTTAGGGTCCATTTAGCCAGGATAAAGCTTCTGTAGTTCTTTGTCAATCTAAAGCCTTGTTTGTGATTATGTAAAGAGGTTTCAAGTGCTTCTGTGTTTGTTAAGATTCTTCTTGGAATAGTTCTGGGTAATGTGGGAGTGACTTTTAAGTACCAGAAAAGGGAAAAAGGGGTTAATTAGACTCTTGTTGGAGAGTTAATTAGTTCATTAGACTCTTCTTGAAGAGTTAATTTTTTGTTTGATGTCGTGAGATCAAGGTTTGGCCTTCGTTTTATCTCTAGGGTAGTGTTATTTAACTAAGGTCTTGCTTTTGTTGGGGTGAGTGGCTCTTGATCGAGAGTTAATTTAAGGTTTAGGGCTTCTGTGTTCTAGAGGCCTTCATTCTATCTCTAAGGTAGTGTTCTTAACTAACATTTTGCTTTTTGGCATACTATAGTCTGAACGAAAATGAAGTTCTATTATAATCATCACCCATGGTTTTATCCTAGTTTGGGTGAACCCTGAACTTCCTCTTCTTTCAGGTTTAGGCTTCAAAAGTTCCTAAAATTGCTTCTTTGTCTTCAGCTTTTTCCATGGTTTTGAGTCTTGTGTGCTTTATTTTAGGTTGGCAATATCAACAGTCACCGCCAACCATACAGTGCATTGTGGAAAAAGCTTTAACTCGAATAACAAAACTGGAGCGGAAGGATCTCGTTTTAGTTGGTGCAAGTAGGACTGATACAGGAGTTCATGCCCAAGGTCAGGTCTGACTTCCTTGCTCTTTTGGAGATTGAAAAGGTGTAGATGAATGCTTAAACAAACTTAAAATGCTTTTAGCTTTCAGGTGGCACACTTTGTTACACCTTTTAACTATGACAGCTTGGAAAGCATTCATGCAGCACTAAGTGGTCTTCTTCCTCCCGATATCCGAGTTAGTGAAATTAGCCCGGCGGTGCCTGAATTTCATGCTCGATTTTCAGCAAGGAGCAAGATTTATCACTACAAGATATATAATGACCCCATCATGGACCCATTTCTGCGTCAGTATGCTTATCACAATGTCTATAAACTCAATAGTGCTGTCATAAGAGACGCTGCCAAATATTTCATTGGGAAGCATGATTTCTCTGCTTTCGCCAATGCATCCCACAATGATCGAGTGCCAAATCCGGTGAAGAATATTTTCCGCTTTGATGTCATTGAAAAGGTAAATGTGTAGCCTAACAGCCATGTTACCTTATACAGATAAGAATTAGAATTTTGGATTTCGTCGTACGAATGCTCCTTGATGAATGGGTTCTTTTTTTTTTTTTTTTCATACACATCCTTCTCTTTTGTTGCTTTTCCTTTTCTGATTCTTATTCAAGATTTATACGAGTGTAAGTTTTGAATTGATGGTTGATTGTGTTGCTTTTTAGGGACCTCTTTTGCAGCTTGAAGTTGAAGGGTCTGGTTTCTTATATAGACAAGTTCGGAACATGGTATATGATTCACTTATCCTTCCATGTCTATTCCAGATTCAACGACATTGTGTGGCATTATGCATTTAATCGTTTTGTACACTGGTCAAGTCGTGGTAGTTACTGTGATGATTCAGTAATGAATGTCCCTAACCTTAGGAGCTAAGCTGAGCTAGGCTTATGGAAGATGGTATATGGACCCTTATTTTACTTTGATTTTACAGGTTGCTTTGTTGCTTCAAATTGGAAGGGAAGCAATTCCTCCTGATATTGTCCCAAAGATTTTGGCAACTCGAGATCGCAAAGAGCTTGCCAAGTTTGCATTGTCTGGTCCACCTCATGGTCTGTGTCTCGTGGCTGTCAAGTATAATGAAGAACATCTACGACTTCCCACAGGTTGCTCAGCAACTAGTTTTGGTAGGCATCATAGTGTAAGATATTGTAAGCTTCCATTCTATTAAGATTTTGGCTTGCAACATTAAAGAAACAGAATGAAATGCAAAAACAGATATTTGAGATTCTCAAGATTGTCTTTAGAAATTGGCGAGTGGCTATTAATGAATACCTTTCACTTCAGTTTCCATTATATAATCAAAATCTGAACCTTTGGATCTGGTGAGTTGCTGGAAACATTGAATAACATTATACTAGTTACTTAGCAGAATGTCTATATATATATAGACACGCGCGCGTTTATATACGCAAGTTATATGATACAACTAGCGATAAAAACATAAAACATGTTCCTCTGGTGTTTAGTAGATCTTCTATTTCAGGATAACTGAACATATTACTCTGGTGTTTCCTAGCTTCATAGAGAGAATCTCACAAGAAGGTTGGACTGATTAAAAGTACTGCCTACAACCATGTCTGATGCATGGTGCAAGAGGAACATTTTGGGATTAATCATGTTGAGAAGAAGTCTCCATTGAAAAAGCACCATTATAACAGATTGAATATTCATTTCGGTCTCCTTTCCCAAGAATGTCACAAAATTGGAACAAGAAGAAGAAAGGATAAATGACTCATTCCTTTATATATATATATATATATATATATGTTCTTTTAGGGCCTGTTTGGCAACTACTTTTACTTCATGTTTTTTGCTTTTACTAGTGTATTGTAGTGAAGTAAAAACACAAAACATGTTTGGTAACGTTTGTTGTCATTTGAATAGTACCTTCCGAAAAAGATGCCAAAATCAGAAGCATAAAAATAATGTTTTTGGTTGCTTTCGAACGGTCAAAATTTTCTTCTAAAATGACATTTTTAACTAGTCATTTAATTTTTCAAACTTGCGACACTTTTTACTAAACATGCTTTCATGTTTTTTGCTTCCAAAAATCTTACAATAAATTTACATTATCAAACAAGTTTCAAAATGCTGTTGAACACACGCAGAAACACTGCTTCTACAGCGTCTGCTTCGGTCTCTTGAGCAACAGTTTTTTGTTTTCCCAGTTCTACTTAAAAAATAAAGGATAATTCTTTTCCTTTCACATTAATTCCAGATTAATATGACACAGAATTACTATCTCTTTCCTTTTATTTTCTTTCTAAGACCCCTAAACAGGGAGAGGATTATCCCTTTCATTTCCTCTTTGTTTGATCTTACTAAACAATACACATGTTTTGTTTCAATTCCTACATTTTTTTTCTCCCAACTCCCGACTGAAACGTGAAAGAAATTACATTCTCTGAGCATTGGCGTAATAAATCGGTTTTATCTCCTTTTGATTCGTGAATCCGATTTAATCTGTGCAAATCAGATCAGATTTTCATGCCCACGATTTAGTGACGGTTCATCAATTAGGAATCGGATAGGAACTTTAATTAGATTCTTTAAAATCCGATCCAATTTGTTAAGAATATATTGTATACAATAATGTCTTATATTACTAGATACTATTATCCACTTGGATCATTTGTTCTAGTTAGATTGGTTTGACTTGAGAAGCATTTACATTTAAATGGGTAACAGCAGAATCAAACCAAAAAGAAAACATTATTGGGTTGTCTAGAAAGGTCCTAGCAAATCCGATATTTTATGAATTGGATCCAATCCAGTTAGGCCTTTCCACGATTCGAATCACTAAATCGTATCAAATCCGTGGTCACCCCCACATCTCATTACCTGATACACACCAGCCAAATCTGAAGAGCAGCATTCCTGTGAGACCAGATCTTCCAAATGGTATTGGCAAGAAATGAAGCCAAAACATTTGACTTCATAGAATCAATTTTGGTTTGCTGGAGAAACCAAGCCACCATCAGGTTAACTGGTTCTCTAACGCTGCACAGTCGATCTCAAATTGGGTGCACCCAGAATTTGCATATATTTCTTAAATTGTGCCCACCCAATTAGCCTACAACCAAACTTGCAATCTGGCAAAAAACTTCAAGAACCATTTGTGGCATACAAAAATCTCATTTTCTGGAGAACAGACATTATTCATTAATTAGATAGCCATAGATTACATTCATTCATGTCACTTCTATAAATAATACAAAAATACTCATGGAGTGGGCGATTCAAATTCCCACTAAACTGTTATTAACATGTCCAAAATAATTAAAGAAGAAGAACTAGTGTACAATAACATTACAACATACAATACCCTATCGTTAGCTTATTAAGAAAATCTGCAACAATTGCCATCAGCTGCCATTATGCATGTAATCTGCTAATGGAAGTGTGAGTACGAATCATGAGCAAGTGTCTGCATCAGAGAGACGCAGCATGTTAGAGTGAAATTATAAACAAGTCATTCACAAAGGGGAAATAAAGAATAAAAAATTGCAACAATGTAAACTAGAGAGGACGCTCCCATACATATTATATCACCTTTAAAACTTGGAGAACACAGAGAAACAAACCTAAACAATTCCCATTGAGAATGATAAATGCCTAAGCTGAGAGAGATCTCAAAGTTCTTACTTTAAGGATACCCTACTTTTGCGTCGATACGAGTAAATAATTCTGAAAACCATACAAGATTTACATTCTTGCTGGTAATTATACATTATTCATTCGTGATTTACTCTCTATGAACTACAAATCAACAAGACTTCTAAATTCCATAGGGGTTCCAAAAAAACCGTTAGAATTGGTAAATGAAAATCTGACCACTCTCTCTTTTTTAAGAAAACGAAATGTGGTATTGTGATTCTTGTGGTTTATGTAGATGATATTGTTATCACCAGTAGTGAAAAAGATGGGATACAAGTTCTAATCCATCACTTGAATTCTAGCTTCATTACTAAGGATTTGGGCAAACTTCGGTATTTTCTAGGAATTGAGGTGGCACGGTTAAAGCATGGCATTAATCTTTCTCAGCGGAAGTATACTCTTGATCTCTTACAGGTTCGAAACCTGTAGCTACACCCATGGAGACTAATGTAAAACTTAAGGCGGATGATGGTGACCCACTCGATGATTCAGAGATGTATCAGAGACTTGTAGGTAAACTTATTTACCTCACAATCACTCATCCAGACATCTCCTATGCAGTCAGTGTTGTGACCCAGTTAATGACCAGCTAAGAAGCACGGACACGGATACGACACGACACGGACATGGCGACACGGCAAATCCAAAAAAATTAAGATACGGACACGGCGAATAGTGTGTATATATATATATATATATATATGATGTAGTACTTGAAAAATTACTTGAGTATTATTATTTTTCATCAACCTCACAATGAAAAAAATACACAAATCATAACTCATAACTAATAAACTATAAAAGAACAATGTTGCAGAGTTATAAAACCAAATAAAAACAAGACATTAGAATAATAACTAGTATCATTTAATTAGTTTAAAATTATTATGTACTGACCACATAAGTGAGTAAAAGTTGTTAAATAACTTCATATATTTATACTTTAACCCAATTTTCTATCAAAAATTATCTTTTAGACCCCAGAAAATAAGACAAGCGTGTTGGACACACACCCTTGGAGTGTCAGAAGCGTGTCCGCGAAGTGTCCGAAAATTTAAAAAAATTAAAAAATTCTAGACACGTTTTTTGGTGTGTTCGACACATGTTGGGGTGTGTCCGACACGTGTCAAACACGGATTCTTCGCCCATTTTGGCGTGTCCATGCTTCTTAGATGACCAGTCCTTGGGTACCTCACATGGAGCAGTTGTATGCATCTTAAAGTATCTCAAGGGTGCTCCGGGACGTGGTCTGCTTTATGATCTTCTGGACATCTTCAGATTGAGGGATATACAGATGCAGATTGGGCCAGTTCTCCTTCTAATCGACGGTCCACCACTTTTTACTGCACCTTCATAGGAGGAAATCTAGTAACTTGGAGGAGTAAGAAACAGTCAATTGTGGCTCGTTCCAGTGTTAAAGCAGAGTATCATGCCATGGCACACACTGCCTGTGAACTTACTTAGTTGAAAACTCTTTTACAGGGACTTGGGATTTCAATCCAGTACCCAATTCCTCTCCATTGTGACAATCAGGCAGCTATTCAAATTGCTAGCAATCCAGTCTACCATGAGAGGACTAAACACATTTAAGTAGATTGCCATTTCATTCGATCTAAAGTTGACTCGAATGAGATTGTTACACCTTTTGTTCCTTCTGGTAGACAATTGGCTTCACTAAGGCGCTTCCCATGAACTCTATTGATTCCATATGTAGCAAGTTGGGAGTTACTGACATTTACTCTCTAGCTTGAGGGGGAGTGTTGTACAGTATTGTATGCGTTGTCACACGTGTACAGTTAGCATTGTATGAGTTGTCACCTACCCCTCATTACCATATATATAATTACCATGTATAGGGCTTTCTTGTTCTCCACTCACCTACTCCCGTAGCTTCTCTTATATAAACACCATTGTATTATTGTATTACTTAATAACATATACGTTTTCAAATATTCTCTCTCTCTCTCTCTTCCAATACTATTTTGGATATGTGGTCGAAATAAAATATACATTTTAAATTTATGGATATGTTTATCGGACACGTATTCATGAGTATCCAAAAAGCATCGGTATCGGATACAGACATGATACGGGTACGTCACACTTGTAGAAGGTAGTGCTTCCTAGGCCATCATACCATCTATCATTGCCTCAACAAGTGTTTACTTTTAGCTTCCTTTTGTCCTCACACCTTCAACTTAATTCAAATCACTCATTAGTGTTGACTTTAAGATATAATCAAATCAAGAGTAAGTGATAAAGAAGAAGAAGAAAAAGAGAAGAAAAGATATCTATCATGTCTAGCTTGACTAACATATTTTGCAAGCAAGTCTTGCTCACACCCTTAGTCAAAACATATCATGTGCATTAACGTATGGAGTACAAATCAGCCCAAGACAAATCTTTTCCTTGATGAAGTGTCGATCGACTTCAATGTGCTTTGTCTTATCATGTTGAACTGGATTGTGGGCAATGCTAATAGCAGCCTTGTTGTCACAATACAACTTCATTGACTCACAAACAGGATAACCCAACTCACCCAACATCGTACGTAGCCATAACAACTCACAAACTCTATGTGTCATGGATCTGAACTCAGCCTCTACACTAGATCTAGCTACTACAGACTGTTTCTTGCTTCACCATGAAACAAGATTACCTCCGACAAATGTGCAATATCCTAAAGTAGATCGTCGATCTGTCACAGACCCCGCTTAATCAGCATCAGTATAGGCTTCAACACGCAAGTGACCATGACTGCCAAACAATATCCCCTTACCAGGTGAACCCTTGAGGTAGCGAATAACATGATGAGCTGTCTCAAGGTGAGGTGTATGTAGAGCATGCATAAATTGACTAATCACACTAACAACACAGGCAATATCCGGGCGTGTAAGAGATAAATAAATCAGTCTCCTAACCAATCGCTGAAATCTTCCCACATCATCTAATTAGTCTCCATCTACATCATTAAGCCTAGGTTCTGCTCAATGGGAATGCTAATAGGTCTAGCTCCAAGCTAGCCTGTTTCAGCCAACAAATCTAACACATACTTCAGTTGAGAAATGAACACCCTTTCTTCGATCTGCACACCTCAATGCCAAGAAAGTATCTCAATGATCCGAGGTCCTTAACCTCAAACTCTGTCCCCAATACTGACTTCGTTCGACGAATCTCTTTTGGATCATTTCCAGTGATAACAATATCATCAACATATACAATAAGGGTAGTGGTGCAGCCATGGTGCTTCTTGATGAAGAGAGTATGATCTGCCTGACTCTGTGTGTACCCTACTCTTTTCACAGCAGTGCTGAACCTCTCAAACCAAGCACGTGACGACTGCTTTAACCCATACAAAGCTTTATTTAGCTTACACACTAAATTCTGAGCATTGGCAAGCTTAACCCCAGTGGCATGGTGATATACACCTCTTCCTCCAAGTCACCATGAAAGAAAGCATTCTTTATATCCAGCTGATGTAAGGGCCAATTCAAATTAGTTGCCAAAGAAAGAAAAACACGTATAGAGTTCATCTTGGCAGCTAGAGCAAATGTTTCCAGATAATCAATTCCATAGGTCTAAGTGAAGCCCTTTGCAACTAACCGAGCTTTATATCTCTCAATTGTTCCGTTTATATAATACTTTATTGTGTAGACCCATTTGCAGCCTACTGGTTTCTTACCCCTAGGTAATGGATTAATATCCCAAGTACTTGTTTGAAGTTATTAATGTCTTGGGGGTATGCCTTCAAGACATTACCTAGTTTATGTTTGGGCTTAGATTGCTTTTAATTTTGCCTTTGTAAGGTGAGTGGTGTTTTCTTTGTTTTTAATAGGGGTATGCCCTCATTGTTTCCATATATCTTTTGTTTATATTTAATACATTCCTTCATTTAGGAAAAAAAAAAAGAAAAGAATAATATCTCAAGTACCATTTTGGTTAGCATATATGATATCCACGATTTATGGAATGACTTACCATAATAACAGAGATTTGACTATGTATATGTTAGCATATATGATAGCCACGATTTATGGAATGACTTACCATATTAGCAGAGATTTGATTATGCTATAGAATATGCCATAGAATATGCTTCAGAATGTGTTGTGATTTGATTTAGTTTCCTTTCTTGTAATATGAGCATGTTCTCTTTTTATCTATAAATACTAGAGTTGTGAATGAGTGATTCATCTCATTCAAGGCTTTACAAAATTTTCTCCTTTTTCTTCTTTTTATATTTCTACTTGGTATCAGAGTCAACACCTTTTCACACCTTTCAGCAGCCTTGCTACTTGTGCGACAGCCACCTTAAGCTGTTTGTGACATCGTGTGATGTTGCCTACATATGTTTTTCTGTGTTGCTATTTTGTGATCGAAAACATGTATTTTTAAGTTTTACAATTTCATTTTTTACTCTTCTAGGGTTGGGTAAATTGGGATAATTGGTCTCCAACACCTAGAAGGGCTTAGGTAAACAAAAAATTAGTCTACAAAGAGGTTCCGGATATTAAGAAGGAGGCTGTCTAGCTATATAGAAGCGGGCAACGCTCCTTAAAAAAAGTATGTATCTGGATTTTTCGGGAATGGTCTGAGGAGACATTGTTATTGTTTATGGTCTAAGGAGACCCTTTGATTTATTAACAGAATTTGTGGTGTTTTGGAGTTTTTTATTGTCGTGTGACAGATTATGGCAGATTTAGGGTCCTCAACTATTAATTCTCTTGGCTGAAATTCTGTGGGTGGTGGTGCCATTTTCACCACCAACTC